TTGCCCAGGATTTTTTTCAATTTATGTCGCTACTTAAATCTAGCTGCCTAACGATCTAAAGACACATTATTAACATTTAGAGGCAAGCAAAAAAGTCTTCCCTTTTTGTCGGAGACAATAAAGAGCCTAAAAGCCATATTACATAAGGGAAAGGGCCTTAAAAATAAAGTGTAAACAGGATTAAACAGGACCAAGGAAATAACGGCGTCCGAAAACTAACATTTTACGGTTCAGACAATTTTATAGGATCCCATTCCGGCTGTAAGTAACGAACGCGCCTTATTATGACACAGTACAAATAGAAAAGTATTTTTACAAAAAGTATGATTTTTCTCATTAAATAGAGACTGAGATTGGAAAGAATAAGTACTATAACTACTTATTAAAATTTGGGAAACGAAGTATATTATTGTTATCAAAGTAGCCAAGACACTTGATGACTTCTAGACAATCTCGCTCCAGATTTTATAATATGCAAAAATATTATCAATAGCCGCGTAGGACGTTCACCCACAAGGTGGACCGATGACCTCACCAATCGGTCATTAACGGAATTCATTGGGGGAGGCCTATTTTAGCAGTGGACGTGCTATGGCTGACATGGTGATGAATGATGATGATGATGATTATCCACAGGAAGTCCATTTTGTAAAAGTATTTTTTATATCATTATTTGAATTTTATCAATTTCGATCATAATATAAAAAATCCGTATCGTGGGTATATTTATGCACTTGATTGGGAGTTGTTCCTTTTAATTAGGAAAAAATAGCATAGAACGAGTAAATGGGTTTAGGTCCTTTGATAATCCTTTCAATATAAATTACTTTACTTCAACTTACGCTGTGGTTACAACTATGAATACCTGGTTTCCATTGACGTGGAGGAGTGTAAAGGCTTTTTTACTACATTTTTATCTCAACTCGTGTGAATGTATTACAGCGTATTAAATCTACTTAAATACGGGACTTCTTGCAGAATTTATTACGGGGCAATTGATAATGTTAATTATACAAATAATATTTATTTTTTTCTTGTTAAATACAAATATTTGAAGGTGAGTTAAAAGAAAAGCGTGTGTTTTCTCAATAAGAAGTATCTAGCAAAACAAAAGTTCCCATGACCACCTTCCAGCTCTATCATCAGACCCTGGTTACAAAGACAAACTATTCGTCAGGACGATTCAAATGAGCCCAAACTCGATGAGGTTGCATCGTTACATTTGTTTTGTTTTTTGTTTTTTTTTTTTTTTTTTAAAAAGATTATTAGTAATTTGTTATTACACAAATTACTAATACTCCCGTTACATTATAAGTTACATTGCGAAGTTCCTAAGGCCACCTTTCACCTCCAGCGACACATGTATACGAAGCGTTTCAGCATTCAAATCAAATTTTATTTGCAAGATTTGATGACAACATAGTATGGGACAGGTGAAACTAAATAAAAGCTTGTAAAAAACTGTTTGTGTTAAAAATATTTATGGTCCTTTCAAGGCCGCTTGTGGTCATCATTTCTTTTAGGACTTTGAAACACTTAATTTGCAGTACAGGTGAACGTGCTGTAACATGTTTCCATCTAATTAAATCCCAGCTCCTGGCGCCATAAATCCACCATCACAGCCTAATTAAGTATCACCTCCGTAAATTACTGCCTCGTAAATCTGGAACTTACGTTACTATGTGAGTAGGAAATGCGGAAAAACATACGTAATTCGGTAAAAAGTAAATAGGTTTTATGGGTATTCGACGACTGTAAGACGCTAATTATGTAGCATCCTTGGTATCACAAAAAAATCTATTATTTTTTTCAAAATTTTCGTGAGAGTAGATAATGATTAGACTTTGCAAATACTTAATAAGATTTTTCTTTATTGCGCTCACAAGTTGATTGGCCACAACCACCACCTTACTCCACAGTGGCGCCAACCTGGTGATTGCAATACGATAGTCCTCATACTCTTCAACGTTTAATAGTTGGCGCCACTGTCTGTGGTCTTAGTCACGAGCAAGTGGGATCTTGCTTGCCAGTGGTGTCAACTGTTGAGTGCAATTGGAGAAACCCTCGTTGATTTTGCTCTAAGAGATATGAATAATTAGTAGGTATGTTGAGCAAAAACAGTTGATAAAATCCTTAATGGAAAAACGAAGGTCCATTCTACTCTACTTTTTTTCATTTAATAAGTCACGTTTTAGCTTAGTCAAACTTTTTGTATCAAGAAGAAAGATGTTGTCGTAAAATTCATAACTTTTATGTTCCTGCAGGAGCATCAAAACTTGTAACAGTTACAAAACAACTGAATTAAGAACAGTTCAACAATGACAATAAAAAATAACCTTGCAAATTTTGAACGTTGAACGTGAGCTAGATGCTTTTCTTCCCCTGAGTTTAAACTTTAGAGCTAAAGGATAGCAAATAGATTAAGAACTATGAATATTTAAAATTGGATGCATTGTCACAGGTGCAGTCTTCAGAGGGACAAGGGACGAACTCAGACTTTATTTAATAGAAATGACTTAAAAACTTTCGTGTTGCTGAATTTTTATAAGCTTATGTTACTACAAGCTTATGTTAGGTATGCTTATTAGGTTTCATGCTGGCTCGATTTGTGACAGCTTGGAGCATTAACCGATTGAGTCCCAGACGGCATTAATTAATGTCATAACAATTGATTTATCTATTGTGTCTAGATTCGCGGAGCTTGAAGGATTAATATAACCCGACGAATAGAATCGAGGCGAAAGGTACTTTTCTTTAATTCCGAACCCTTTTTCAGAGAAAGGTAAAGTCAATAATCTTAAAAAATCAACACTAGGCAAGAATGAACTACTTACAAATCTCCGAAATTGACTTTTACTAAGTGCCTATTATAATTAGAAATTAGAATAATAGCTGAAATAATACATCCAAAAATATTCATGAGAATCCGTATCATGGTGCTCCAAGCCTCGTTTCATTGAGATGCCGAAACCAACAGAACTGTTACTTTATGGCATTATCTCCCTTTGTTCCCCTTAAAAGGTTTTCTCGAGCCCGAATAGTTTAATAAACCAGCGAAACAAGTGCGAAACCAATTTCATTTGTTTGTTGAAACAAAATGAGTTTTTGTTTGTACGCAAATACGGGCATTAGGTGTTCTATTGTCATAGTAAAATGTAAATGGTAAACTATTTTATAAAGCAATAGTTGCCACGTGTTGGTAAGTGTCACAGAGGAGATAAAGTGACTCTTATTTTGGGGGAATAAGGTCGATGTAATTGACAATATTAAGTTATGATGTTCCTGGCATATACACAACTATTTACATAGATTTTCTCTGATCTTTCGGGTAGCGTCTGATCGGTACCATTTCCGTTTTGTGTCGGTACGTTTATTTTTACGATATTAGTGGAAGTGCCTACTATTCAGAGGAATTGTTACGATATTCACACTTATTGAGTTGCAATGATGTAAGTAGGTACTTACCTAATTTTATATCATGTTTCTTTATTCTTTCCTAATTTGAATCTTTTCGTATTTTCATGGAGCCGTAACTAAATAACAGTAATATTATAACTAATTAACAGTAAAAAGGCGATATTAATCAAGCTTCTATCAATTAATTTGAATTTGAAATCTAATTTGAATTTGAATTCAACTTGATATTTCCTAATCCGCATCATTTCTCAGAACTTCACGGTATACAAATAAAAAGATATCCGTAGCCGCCTGCTACTTATAACATCAAACTGTGAACCCAATAAAGCTGGAAACCCCAGTCCCTTATAAACGCGCCCGACCCTGTGATCGCCCGATATATCGCCGGGACACGACGCGGTATGATGCCCAGATATAACGGACTTATTTTTAACGGCTTTTACACCGTAACCCCAACCGATCAGGGCAAAACCGCACTCAATGGTCCACTCCATGAGTGTTCAAGAAAAGATACAATGAGGAACGGTGTGAAGTTTGCCATTAAACCTGTAGGTCTAGACAGGTGGAAATTTTCGATCGAATCTAAAATCTAATCCATTTACGGAGCGATGTAACTCGATACAAAAAAAGAACGCCCGAAGCTAAGGTCTTTTGACATTAAGTACAACTGTCAAGTTTTGCCATTTGTCTAATGGGGCAGGTGTAATGATGACGAGCACTCTGCCAAGAGTGTAGCGACGAAAAAGAAGATAACGTACGGTAGCTGGCTTTAACCAATGGCTTCAGGAGATTACTGCCCGGTAGATTTTTTATTGCCAGGATCGTCACCATCGTCATCATGTATTTTGTCAGATCACGCTTCATCATTAGAAAATTGATGATTTGGTCTACGCTTTCTATGCTGCGCTGGCTAAGTTATAAAGGCCTGAGGGCCTAGTGTGAGTTTTTATCAAAAATGACGTTAAATGTATAACGGATTGTACAGCGCCCCTAGCGGGAAACGTTCAAAAACTAAAATTTTCATACATTTTATAAACGCGCGTTTGATGTAAACTCACACCTCACACCTACGCTGATTTTGATTGATTATATTATTCTAGTGAGAGAATATCAAAAAGTATTTTCAAATAGTCTATAGCAAAATATGCGCGAGAAGTCGAGAGAAGCTATTAAGTCTGAAAGTTTTTTATATGTCTTATGGCATGCAAGTTCGCCCTATATTATATTATGGCATTAAAACAATAAAAAATAAATAGGAACGGTGTGAAGTACAGCCGTTTTCGCTACGCCATAATCCGTTTGCTTCACCTCTTCGCAAAGGGGCTTGATAAAAAGTTCCCGGCTACTTTACACAATATGTTCCCGCATAATCCCCAGGGAAGGGCTCAGATCTGAGTCTTTGAAGCTATGAGATTATAGCATAATATATTATACGACATGTAAGTTAAAGAGAGTATATTATTCCTAAAAATCTTGTTTGGTAATTCATGTTAAGAAAAAAACAATGAAACAACAACAAATTGATTAATTTTGGACATCACAAAGGCAAAGACAATAACAATCCTATTCCCATTACATTAACAAGGCAATTAAAAAAATAATTTAAAAAAGCAAGATAATTAAAACACCTCATCATAAGCCACGATATTTATAAAGATACAAAGGTCTAGAAATAGCCTTGGAAATCGTTTTTTATAATATTTTATTCATCGGCAATCAAACTCAAAACCCTATGCAGGATGGAAGAGACATTATCAGTACATAGTTAAAATCGATTTGTGTAATGCATCTTCATTTAATATCTCCATCAACAGAGGTCATTACTTCTTGGCCCTGTTCGTGCCTCACATTTTTTACCATATCATTTCCATTGCTAATTTATTAATCTCCAAGTAAACATGTTTTCAAACCATTAATACATAATTTAACCGATGCTTAACTTCATTCTGAACAGTAAATGACAAATTATATGAAATAACTTATAGATTTAGAAAAAACATATTGTATTTTTTACATTTTCAAGTTATTGTCTTCCTTAATAATATCGGCTGCTTTTTCGGCGATCATGATGGTGGGCGCGTTGGTGTTGCCGCTGGTGATGGTGGGCATGACGCTGGCGTCCACCACGCGCAGCCTCTCCACGCCGCGCACGCGCAGCCGGCTGTCCACCACGGAGCCCATGGCGCACGTGCCCACTTGGTGGAATTGTGTGGTTACCAAACAACGAACGTAACAGCGCCAATAATCTCTACTACCAGCTGGATACCTAAGACACTTCTCCAGCTCTAAGAGCTCCGCTCCAACACTCTTGAAGTACGTTGTGTTTATCAAACGAGTGTAATCCTCCAAAAATGTTACTACATCTTCTAGGTCACTTTCATCTGTATAGGGCGCTGTGTAGATAATTGGATATTCGTCTGGATCGGTACTATTCAATAGAATCTCTCCTCTAGATTTAGGCTGAATAGGGATAATTCTAGTCAACATTACTTCTCTATCTTTGCTTTTGTTGTAAAAATTTTGACAAGTATCGCTTTCAAAAGAGAATGCGCATCCAGAAATTACTGTTTCTGAACCGCCAGTAGCTATTGCTGCTTGATAATCTGGGTAGGACTGATTTTTATCCAATGCCACAAAGCCATTTATATTTACTTTATGGTATTCATTTGAAATGGGTGCATGCCCAGTTAAGTGAAATAAAATAATGAATTTGTGATCTTGTAAGTTTTTTCCCACAGGAAGATCAGAAACGACGTTTATTCCAAAACCTTGTAAGTGCTCTTTTGGGCCAATTCCCGAAAGCATTAGTAGTTGAGGACTGTTGATTGCTCCGCCTGACAGTATTATTTCTTTCGATACCTTTAATGTCATTGTTACTCCTTCAGCGTTTTTTAAACTCACACTTACAGCAACTTGTTTTTTGAAATTGATCTTTGTTGCCAAATGATTTTTGAGAACATAAAGATTAGGTCGATTTTTTATTGGTGACAAAAAAGCGTTCGCTGTGCTTTGACGTATATCATCAGCGATAGTGTACTGCGGCTCCGCAAATCCTAATGTGTAATTACCATTGGTGTCAAATACAGTATTGTACCCAAGTTCTTGAAGAGCGTTTAAGTATTTTTTTGCGTTGCTAAAATTATTTGTTTTTGTCACACCCATATACCCTTTAGTTCCATGAAACTTGCCGGTGGGAGATTTTAAAATAGCAGTAGTTTCCATTCTCTCACTTTTGATGAAGTAAGGCAAAATGTTGTCGTAACTCCAGCTGTCGTCATTCGCGATGCGAGCCCATGTATTGAAATCATGCGGGTCTCCGCGTACGTATTTCATGTAGTTAGAACTGCTCGAGCCACCTAACATTTTCCCTTTTGACAATTTTTCTACATTGTTATCATGACACTTAAATAGGGGGCACTGAGGAGTTGTATAGTTCCAGTCGGTGTGAGATCCAACTCCATAAATGCTCAGAGCCGGGAGCTGAAAGTTAAGTTTTAATTAAATTGATTAAGCGGTTCATATAAAAAGATCAAAGAACAAACAAATTAGAAAATTGTATTTATAAGTACACTCGCGAGCAAAAGTATGGAATCACTTACATGAAGTTGTTTCCACGCGATCTTGTGTACTAACGAATTTGTTAGTAACAAAAAATGTGGCACCATTTTAAAGATTAAACTTTTAGCTTTAAATTAATACCAAATTCATTTAAATCACACCAGTATTTAAAAAGATATCCCGGCTGATGTGCAGAAGTAAGGAAAAAGACATGTATCAACTGTTTGATACGTCGCGAGTTGCGGCTTATTTACCCCCTATAAAAGCACGTGTTTTGAGATTTTTGCTTACACATGTTGATTCATACACATCTCCGCTTCTTTTGACACTTTACCTGGGATTCTACACCTACAGAAGCAGCACAAATCGTTGCACTATTGCAAGAAGGGCTCAGCCAGCGGGCTGTCGCACGTCATCTCCACATAAGCCAGTCCTGGGTTTCGAAAGTTTTAAGACGCTTTCGGGAGACTGGGGGCTGTATCCCGAGACCAAGTTCTGAACAGCGCCGGTGCACATCGCAGAGGGATGACCGTTTTTTCATGTGAACCTCTCTATGAAATCGTGATTTGACTGGTATCGACGTCCAGCAAGAGCTCAGAAATGTTCGTAGGATAACTGTTAGCGAGTGGACAGTTCGTCTAAGATATAATCAATAGAATTTGACTCCAAAAAGGCCTGCCACAGGCTCGAAACTGACGGCAGGTCACCGACAAGCACGCTTTCAATTAGCTCGCACTTACTTTGATGGGAAGGCGAGTAATGGAGGCGAGTTTTGTTCTCCGATGAATGCAGACTGTGTTTGCAATGCAGCAGTCGAAGAGGTCGGGTCTATAGGCGGCCTGGGGAGCGATTTGTGCAGTGCTGGTTCGCTGAAACAGTGGCTTATGGGGTGGCTTGCTTGACTTCCCATCGAGATGTGTACGAGCAAATTGAAAGCGTGCTTATCGGTGACCTGCCGTCAGTTTCGAGCCTGTGGCAGGCCTTTTTGGAGTCAAATTCTATTGCTTATATCTTAGACGAACTGTCCATTCGCTAACAGCTATCCTACGAACATTTCTGAGCTCTTGCTGGACGTCGATACCAGTAAAATGACGATTTCATAGAGAGGTTCACATGAAAAAACGGTCATCCCTCTGCTATGTGCACCGGCGCTGTTCAGAACTTGGTCTCGGGATACAGCCACCAGTCTCCCGAATGCGTCTTAAAACTTTCGAAACCCAGGACTGGCTTATGTGGAGCTGACGTGCGACAGCCCGCTGGCTGAGCCCTTCTTGCAATAGTGCAACGATTTGTGCTGCTTCTGTAGGTGTAGAATCCCAGGTAAAGTGTCAAAAGAAGCGGAAATGTATATGAATCAACGTGTGAAAGCAAAAATCCGAAAACACGTGCTTTTATAGGGGGTAAATAGGCCGCAACTCGCGACGTATCAAACAATTGATACATGTCTTTTTCCTTACTTCTTCACTTCAACCGAGATATCTTTTTAAATACTGGTGTGATTTAAATCAATTTGATATCAATTTAAAGTTTAAAGTTTAATCTTTAAAATGGTGCCACTTTTTTTGTTACTAACAAATTCGTTAGTACACAAGATCGCGTGGAAACTACTTCATGTAAGTGATTCCATACTTTTGCTCGCGAGTGTAGATTTTTTCTAAAGAAATGGGAGTAAATACTTATGTAACTTGTAATAAGTGGAGATTCAAATGGGGTACTCAATTTAAATGAATTGAGGAAATTTGACTTTTGTAGTAAGGAAATTAATTCAAAAAGTTGGGCATTACGTTGGACTCTAGAGGTGGGTCCCCGCCGGCCTCGACCAGCAGCACCGTCACCCTCGGGTCCTCGCTGAGCCTGTTGGCCAGCACGCAGCCCGCCGAGCCCGCGCCCAGCACGATGAAGTCGAACACAGCCCCATCTGGTGGTTGATATACAGAAAATTATGTTGATTAATTTACTTGGGATACAAAATTGTATCAATTTATACTTACATTTAATTTTGTGATTAATTTAAAATGTGGAGTTCTTGTCAGAGGTTACTTCTTACTTAGCTACCTTACCTTTAATATTAGCTTGCTCGGGGTATCTATAGGCGGTCAGATTGAGTACTGTTAATACCCTCAATGCATTCTGTATGCTGGCGGCCTGTGTAAGGGCGTTAACTACCTCCATTTTATGTTACGTCTGCCGGTACACTGAATAGAATACAATGTTAATAGTTAGTTTAATTTCTTTTATAGAAAATAATTGTTTATTCAAGTGGATTTTTGACAGAACTATTTTAATTAACATAATGATAATCTTGTTACGGTTAGGTACCTACGTAATGTTACGGTTAATGAGATAAATTAAAAATTACGAATAATTACCGACAGGCGAGGTAAAAGTGATAAATTAATCACATTAATCAGTGATTATTTCATAATGTAACCTTAATTAACAAACATCATAAAAGAGAACACCGGCTCGTGTACAGCGCTCATGTACAGCCTCAGATTTTGAACGTTTTGATATCATAAATATTAATAATATAATTTGGCAAAATGAGTTTGGACTGTTTCTTGCGTATTTTGCTATAATGTCTACAACACATTGTTTTGGTTTAAAGTGAAAAATAGGTTAAGGTGCGGCGGGGGTCGCCCTTGGGCCACCCCTAAGCCGCCTATTTAGTTTTGTACACACATAAATTTTAATGATCTCATATTAATCACATTTACCAAATTATGAGGTAATTATTCATAGTAACCGGCGATTATTCATAATTTTCACATTTACCGTAACATATACATAGATACAAGTAAACACTGTTTTTCAATGTTAGACTTTAAGCTTTAGAAGTAGGTTCGATATTTTTTTACTACAAAAATGCCAAAGTGTCTACCTAACTAACAATAGGAATACAAAAAATAGAAGTCATTATTTTAATTTATTAATTGTTTTTTTAATGGGTACCTACGATAAGCAGTTAGAACACAAAGAAAAGCAAATACCTCGATTGTTCATTATACTTTACATCCATGCGACACCATTATGTCATTGTATTAAGTGTCGTTTTTGAATGTTATTGTCTTCCTTGATCATATCGGCTGCTTTCTCGGCGATCATGATGGTGGGCGCGTTGGTGTTGCCGCTGGTGATGGTGGGCATGACGCTGGCGTCCACCACGCGCAGCCTCTCCACGCCGCGCACGCGCAGCCGGCTGTCCACCACGGAGCCCATGGCGCACGTGCCCACTTGGTGGTACAGCGTGGTCACCAGGCACCGAGCGTGACAACGCCAGTAAGCCTTAGACCCGACTGGAAAGTCCCCGCACTTTTCCAACTCTAAGAATTTTGCTTCAACACTCTTAAAATACGTTGTGTTAATCACTCGCGAATAATCTTCCAGGTACCGGACAACATCTTCAAGATCTCTTTCATCTGAATATGGCTCTGTGTAGATAAATGGATATTCTTCAGGGTTAGTGCTCTTTAACAGTAGTCGCCCTCTTGATTTAGGCTGAAGTGGTGCCAATAGACTCAAAGTAGTTTCTTTGTTCTTGCTCCTATCATAAAGTGATTGGCAAATTTTCTCATTAAATGTAAATAAAATAGCACAAGATAGTATCACCCGGATTGCAATGGCGACTGTGACTAGATAGTCTGGGTTGATTTGATTTTTATTTAATGAGACGTAACCGTTTATTGCGATATCTGGGTATTCATGAGGGTTCGCAGGTATGGGAGCCGGGGCAGGGCCTGTTGTGTGGTACAATGCCACTACTTTATGATCTTGTAAATTTTCTCCTACTGGAAGATTGTATACAACTTTTATTCCTAAACTTTTTAGGTGTTCTTTTGGACCAATGCCTGAGAGAATTAACAGTCGTGGAGTGTTAATTGCTCCGCCCGACAAAATTATTTCTTTTTTTGCGTTTAGTGTCATGGTTTCTCCCCTATTATTTATTACATTAATGTTTACAGCAGCTAGTTTTCGTAAATTAATTTTTGTAACCAAATGATGTCTAAGAACATATAAATTAGGTCGACTCTTAGCTGGTGACAGAAATGCATTAGCGGTGCTTTGCCGAATACCATCAGCTGCGGTAACTTGTGATTACGTAAATCCTAGAGTGTAATTTCCATTGGTATCTAGCACAGTTTTGTATCCAAGTTCTTCAAATGATTTCAAATAATTTCTTGTTTGGCTATTATTTAGTTTAGTCACACCTAAATATCCATTAGCACCATGAAAAATTCCAGTGGGAGGGTTTAAAATGTCAAGGTTATTCATTCTCTCACTTTTGATGAAATAAGGTAAAACATTGGTGTAGTTCCAACTTTGATCTTTAGCAATACGAGCCCAAGTATTATAATCGTGTGGGTCCCCTCGCACGTAGAACATGAGGTTGAGACTGCTTGATCCACCTAACATTTTGCCTCGTGGTAAATGATCTTCATCATTGATGTGACAATTGTTGCCGGTGCATTGCTGTGTACTTGTAGTGTAGTTCCAGTCATTTCGGGATCCAAAGCCGAAAGGAAATAATGCCGGTATATGTAAAAGTTAAAATAGCCGGCCTTAACTTAATTTGGTTGACCAAAAATCCTTCACGGGTCTTAGGCCGTGGGATAAAGTTACAATCGGATGCATTATTATAGGTAATGATATTATAATTACATTAGACTCGATTGGAGGATCTCCACCAGCTTCTATCAGCAGCACAGATACACCGTTGTCTTCCGTGAGCCGGTTTGCCAGCACGCAGCCGGCTGAACCCGCACCAACTATTATGAAATCGAATGTCGCTCCATCTGTTGAACAATAAATTGGGTATTTAATATTGTTGATTTCCTACTACATGCATTGTCGATGCAATTGACTCATAATTCTTTTATTATGCACCTGTGTTCATAAAGCCTTCAAAATGAAAGTATCCAATTTCTGCTCCAAGTAATTATTCTGTAAAATTTTCCGGAACTTTTGTAATTCAATTGTCTGTCATCGTTTAGTGGTTATTTTTCTTAAAAATAAATCAGAAAACGTTAGATTCTGTAGTTCTAGAGTATCTCGGTACTTATTAATGATTCTATTTTCCAACATTTGCAATGAACCATGGAAGTATTGTTAGTTTTTTTGATACTTTTATTTAGATATTCTACTTCATTTCGATTAAGATACAATGACATCTTACCTTTAACATTTGCTTCTTCAGGATATAGGTACGCGGTCCAATTGAGAACAGAAATCACACCCAAAGCATTTTGAAAATTTATAAATTCTGAAGTTAATTGTGATACGTCCATTTTCTATTTCACTTTTTAAACACTGGCTTTGGTAATAAGTGACATCAACAAACAGGTGCTTATGAAAGGGGAAAGTTGGCTGATGTGACCTAAATATTTTGTTGTAGGTATGTAAAAAAATACTTTAGTTACCAACTTAATACAGTTCGTAACTAAATGCTTAAAAAATTATATTATTATTATTCTTTCATAGTTATATTTAGACCACAATATTCACAGTTAAAACTACATTATTGTACCTGTACTTTGTACCTATACTTACAAGTAATGCACATGCACATAATTTTTACACCTACGCCTTATTATTTAAATTCTGTCATGAATTCCTGATAGCGATGGTCTGCATTACCTAATTATTTATTTATTTATTTATTTGCTTGTCACATGGTAATTATGTTAATTGTGCCGTTACAATGAACTTTGTAGAGTTGAACAACACTGAAGTGTCCCAGTTTTGACATTTACAGGGGGCGCTACTATCGATACTCGGTATTTCCGATTTGTGCCACGCAGGATAATACACAATACTCAAGTGTTCAAGTACCTCTAGCAAGAACAACTTTCGTCTTCGAATCGTTTGAGTATTCGACAAAATTCGATACTCAACCTTCGAATTAAACGATAACGTGACAATTTTGATTCTCAGAATAAGTTTCGTTCAACCATTTCTCATACTAAGTTCACTTTACGTCACATTGTTTACGTTTTCGTACTAAATCTTTTGATGGCGATTCGAGTTAGCAAACGATTCGAACTCGAAAGTTTTTCGTGCTAGCCGTACAGATATTATGACACTGACAGAAGGGCGCTACTATGAACACTGGGATAGTAAGGATTAACTACACTGAACTGTCCCACTCATCACATTGACAGGGGGCGCCACCATCGTTCAACTAGTTTCCAATGTAGCAAAAATCGGAACCAGCTATCCGGTATTGACGGTGGCTCCCCCCTGTCAATGTCACGGTGCCGCGGTGGGAGGGTTCAGGTGGAAGCTTCTCTAGCGTAAGTAGGTAAAAACAAACTACAAGTGCTCGCCATAGTGAGAAAATAATTAAAAACCAACCATAAGTTATGATAATAAATAATATAATAAAAAATAAATAAATAACACTCAATTAAGTAGTAGGAATCTATAAAAAATGTGATCCGATATTGATGTCATTATTGTCTTTTATTAATAAAGTCCGTGATTACAAAGCAATTTCGTTTTATTATGTTGTTGTTGTAATATTATTGTCCTCCTTGATCATGTCAGCGGCTTTCTCGGCGATCATGATGGTGGGCGCGTTGGTGTTGCCGCTGGTGATGGTGGGCATGACGCTGGCGTCCACCACGAGCAGCCTCTCCACGCCGCGCACGCGCAGCCGGCTGTCCACCACGGAGCCCATGGCGCACGTGCCCACTTGGTGGAATTCCGTGTTCACCAAGCACTGAGCGTAACAACGCCAGTAATCTCTACTACCAGTCGTGTAGTTAGCACATGTCTCTAACTCTAAGAGCTCTGCATCTACACTCTTGAAGTAGGTTGTGTTTATCAAACGAGTGTAATCCTCCAAAAATGTTACTACATCTTCTAGGTCACTTTCATCAGTATAGGGCGCTGTGTAGATAATTGGATGCTCATCTGGATCAGTGCTATTCAAAAGAATTTCTCCTTTTGATTTAGGCTGAATAGGGGTAAATCTAGTCAACATAACTTCTCTATCTTTACTTTTGTTGTAAAACGTTTGACAAATATTGCTATCAAAAGAAAATGCGCATCCAGAAAGTACTTTTTCTACATCGCCAATAGCTATTGTTGCTTGATAATCCGGGTAGGACTGATTTTTATCCAATGCCACAAAGCCATTGATATCTATAGTGGGGTATACAAAAGGACTAATAGGCTTGAAAATTGGCGCAGGCCCAGTTAAGAAAAAGATAACAATGAATTTATGATCTTGCAAGTTTTGGCCCACAGGAAGATCAGAAACGACGTCTATTCCAAAACTTTGTAAGTGCTCTTCCGGACCAATTCCTGAAAGCATCAGTAGTTGAGGACTGTTGATTGCTCCGCCTGACAGTATTATTTCTTTTGATGCCTTTAATGTCATTGTTACTCCTTCGTCATTTTTTACATTCACACTAACAGCCACTTGGTTTTCGAAATTGATCTTTGTTGCCAAATGATTCTTGAGGACATAAAGATTAGGACGGTCTCTTATTGGTGACAAAAAAGCGTTCGCTGTGCTTTGACGTATACCATCAGCTAGAGTGAATTGGGGCTCTGCAAATCCTAATGTGTAATTACCATTGGTGTCAAATACAGTATCATACCCAAGTTCTTGAAAAGCATCCAAGTATTTATGTGTGATATTATTTTGTATTTTTGTGACACCCAAATAACCGTCAGCACCATGAAACATGCCGGTGGAAGATTCCAACACAGCAGCAGTTTCCATTCTCTCACTTTTGATGAAGTAAGGCAAAATGTTGTCGTAACTCCAGCTATCGTCATCCGTGATGTTAGCCCACGTGTCATAATTGTGAGGATCGCCACGTACGTAATACAGGAAGTTGATACTGCTGGAGCCACCTAACGTTTTCCCTCGAGGCAAGTTATCTACATTGTTAAGATGACACTTATATTGAGGGCACTGAGGAGTTGTATAGTTCCAGTCATTGTGAGATCTAACCCCATAGGTATACAGAGCCGGGACCTGAAAGGTAGAAAAGTTTTAAATTAATTAACGTTACGATAAGACCAAAGAAGTATTGTGAAAACCAACGACAGCATTTCATACTGGAATAAAAACAACAAACAAAACTTGGAAGGTGACCCTCTGAAGGTCGTACTCAGAAGTTGAGTTTTTCCTAACAATCAGAGTCTGTTAACGTGCACTAGTATTTTTTAAAAATCATTGAGAAAAATTTACTTTTGTAGTAGATACATTTATTCTAAACGTTGGACATTACGTTGGATTCTACAGCAGGGTCCCCGCCAGCCTCTACCAGCAGGACGGACACATTTGGATCCTCCGTGAGCCTGTTGGCCAGCACGCAGCCCGCCGAGCCCGCGCCCACCACTATGAAGTCGAATATAGCTCCATCTGTTGAAAAAATATTATAAACTCAGTTGATTATATCATTTTGGATAGAAAATTTATTCAATGTTATAGATTTGTATTGTCGTTAATTTACAACCAGAAAGCGAAAACCACGGGCCGGAAGACGTAGCGTGGGCAGGCCGGTGAAGGTTACGAGAAGCACCTGGATGCAAGCAGTGCAAGACCGGTCGTTATGGAATTCCTTGGGGGAGGATTTTGTCCAGCTGTGGACGTCATTTGGCTGAAACGAACGAGTGAACAATCGCGAAATTCCTGATAGAAAATATCCTGGAATATTTCAGATTAATTGAAGAGATCTTGACATATTATGGGTGACTTCGACATTGTTTGACTCTTGACATTATTAGTATAGTACACATGAAAAAGCTTTACATAAGTAGGCATAAAGGCTTACCTGTAATATTAGCTTGCTCGGGGTACCGATAGGCAGTCAGATTGAGTACTGATAATACCCTCAAAGCATTCTGTATGCTGGCGCCTTGTGTAAGGGCGTTAACTACCTCCATTTTGTGTCACGCCTGCCGGAACACTGATCAGTAGAACACAATGTTATAGCTTAGCTTCATCTCTTTTATAGAAAACAGTCTGTTGTTTACTCAACTGGATTTTAGGCATTTTTTAAATTAACATACCATTAGATTTCGTACAATGTTGGAATATAGGGTGATTTGTAATAAGTGAACATTCTTGTAAAATATTTTACATTATTTGCCTAGATAAAAGTTAATCAATTTATAAGATACTAGCTGACCCGGCGAACTTTGTTCCGCCCTAATGGCAATAAATAAGCAGACTTTTTTTTTATTTCGAACGGGATAAAAAGTATCCTATGTCCTTCTCCTGGCTCCAAACTACCTCCCTGACAATTTTCGGCTAAATCGGTTCAGCCGTTCTTGAATTATAAGTGGAGTAACTAACACGACTTTCTTTTATATACAACGTGTCCCAAAATTCAAGGATAAGCCGGCGCCGCAGGGTGGACATAGTCATGACTGCTTTAGGAAAAATAAGAAAAAAAAAATATCTCAATTATTTTTTAAGTTACACAATAAATTATGAAATTCGTCGAAAATTGACACCCCTTATGATATTTTACATTACCACGACTACAATTTTTCAAATACTTCAGTTTTTTTGTTTGTATCGGCACCTTAAGTAGTGCTGCTGTCCACCCCAATTCTTAAAACCCTCAGAAACCTTGCAGTTTTTACACAAAAGTTAATCAAAATATGATATTTCCTTAAAATTTTGAACGATTTTTTCTCCGCATTGACTCGTCGTTTTGTAAAAAAACAGTATTAACACTAGTGAGGCAAGTTTTTTATAAAGTTGACGCAACTATCCAAGATTCCGAAATGGTATAATACACCCTTTAGACCCTTGATGATTTTTTCATGTAAGGAATTAAAATCAAAATTCTAATATTAAAAATCGCATCTTAAGCAAAATGTTTAAATTACTTGATTGCCTAAGGTGGGAATCGAACCCACGACTTTTCCTAGGTTTGGAGAACCGTCGCACGGCAAGCAAAAGGTCGTGGGTTTGTGTCCTACCTTGGGCAATTCGATTATTTAAGGCAATTAAAATTTTTAAATAAAATACCTCATGAATGGTTAATTTTTGTCGCGTCATAATATGCCACATTAATTACAGATGACCTGTGCTTTATATCCAAGGAATTATATTAATATAACAAGGATGTTCACTCATTAGTTACAGATCACCCTATATTAATTGCACATTTTACTGTTTATCAAATTTTGACCCTAAAGATGCAGCGGTAAGATGTTCTTTTCATCTAATGAGAAAGTACCTATCACACTAATAATGGCGATAAGTAAATGAGAAAACTCCATAGAATAATTATTTTAATTTATTAATTGGTTTTTGATATGGAAATAGCAACAAGTAATTAAAACATAAAAAGCGAAAACTCAAGGTTTTCGTTTTTTAGTTAGTCATACTTTACAGCCAGTGATTTCCGGTTTCATTTTGTAATATTATTGTCCTCCTTGATCATGTCGGCTGCTTTTTCGGCGGTCATGATGGTGGGCGCGTTGGTGTTGCCGCTGGTGATGGTGGGCATGACGCTGGCGTCCACCACGCGCAGCCTCTCCACGCCGCGCACGCGCAGCCGGCTGTCCACCACGGAGCCCATGGCGCACGTGCCCACTTGGTGGTGCAGCGAGGTCACCAGACACCGAGCGTAACAGCGCCAGTAAGTTTTGCTGCCAAAAGGGTGGTTGGAAAATTTTTCCAATACTAATAACTCAGCATCTACACTCTTGAAGTACGTTGTGTGAATAACCCGGGAATAATTCTCTAAATAACTTATTACATCTTCTAAATCACTTTCATCAGAATATGGCTCTGTGTAAATAAGTGGATGTTGTTCAGGATCAGTGCTTTTCAAAAGTATTTGTCCCCTAGATTTGGGACGAAGAGGCACCAATACAGTTATCATAACTTCTCTATTTTTGCTTTTATCGAAAAAATTCTGACAAATATCAACTGAAAAGGCGCATCCATTACTTAAACTTTCTGAATCGCCAATAGTTATTATGGCTTGATAATCTGGGTATGACTGATTTTTGCCCAATGCCACAAAACCATTTAAAGCTACATTAGGATATTCATAAGGATTAATGGGCCTGGGTTCAGGCGCTGGTCCAGTTAAGACAAATAACGTTACAGTTTTGTGATCTTGTAAGTATTTACCCACTGGAAGATTAGAAACGATGTTTATTCCAAAACCTTGTAGGTGCTCTTTTGGGCCAATTCCTGAAAGCATTAGTAGTTGAGGACTGTTGATTGCTCCACTTGACAATATTATTTCTTTTGAAGCTTTTAGTGTCATTGTTACTCCTTCATCATTTTTCACATTCACACTAACAGCGACTTGGTTTTCGAAATTGATTTTTGTTGCCAAATGGTGTTTAAGGACATAAACATTACGTCGATTTTTTATTGGTGACAAAAAAGCATTCGCTGTACTTTGACGTATACCATCAGCTACGGTGTATTGCGGCTCTGCAAATCCTAATGTGTAATTACCATTGGTATCAAATACAGTACTGAACCCAAGTTCTTGTAGAGCATCCAAGTATTTCTTTGTTTTGCTAAAATTATTTATTTTTGTTACACCCATATACCCTTTAGAACCATGAAACATGCCGGTGGGAGATTTTAAAACAGCATCAGTTTCCATTCTCTCACTTTTGATGAAGTAAGGCAAAATGTTGTCGTAACTCCAGCTGTCGTCATTCGCGATGTGAGCCCATGTGTCGTAATCATGCGGGTCTCCACGTGTGTATTTCAGTAAGTTAAGACTGCTCGAGCCACCTAACATTTTCCCCATTGGTAAGTTGATTCTGCTGTTAAGATGGCACTTATATTGGGGGCACTGAGGAGTCGTATAGTTCCAGTCATTCTGAGTTCTAGCTACATATTTGTACAGAGCCGGGAGCTGAAATGTAGGTTAGTTTCAAATTGATTAACGATACATTAACATCAACAATAAATACAACAAGTCTGTTAACGCATACTCGTATTTTGTCAAATCAAATGTCCTCACTAGTGAGCGTGTTAAAAATACATATATGAGAATTTTAGTTCCTGAAAGTTTCCGCTAGGGGCGCTGTACAATCCGTCATATTATTTTAATGTAATTTATTTACGCGCTCACTAGTGAGGACGTTTGATGTAAACTCACACTAAGCCCTCTGAGGTCTTTCAACTTAATGAGGGTTTTCGCGATTGAAAAATCCGCCAGATGGCAATACGTAGACGCGAGGTCCAAATGCTGCGTGATTTTGTCATATTATATTCTGTCAATGTCATGTCAAAAATAACCAATCATGCAGCATTTGGACCTCGCGTCTACGTATTGCCACCTGGCGGACTTTTCAATCGTGAAAACCCTCATTGAGATAATTTGAATTTTGTAGTAATTTTATTCATTCATTCAGAAAGTTGGAATAGAATAGAATTTATTTATTGCTTTTTCTGTGGACATACGTTGGACTCTAGAGGTGGGTCCCCACCGGCCTCCACCAGCAGCACCGTCACCCTCGGGTCCTCGCTGAGCCTGTTGGCCAGCACGCAGCCCGCCGAGCCCGCGCCCACCACGATGAAGTCGAACATAGCCCCATCTGGTGGTTGGTATTCATTTTGGATAAAAAATACATTTTTATATACTTATTTGTCAGCAGATCCTCTACAATAAAGTATCATGATGTGGACGAGAAACTATCTTTTAAAGCACACATTGACTCAATTGCCAGAAGAGTCCGCAAACTTACCTATATCCTTAAGAATCTGAGAACTGCAGCTGATATAAACCTTTTGAAAGCTGATTATGCTGCAATTGGTCAATCCATAATATCCTACTACATTATTTATATCCTACTACATAGGGCGGCGCGACGTCTAATAACATGATTTCACTAGAGAGAGCACAATGATCAGTACTTAAAGACTTAGGAAACTAATAAGATACTCTCACTTTTTAAAGAAAGTCCTCACAGTCCGTGGTCTATTTGTTCTTAGGGTAATGATGCACAATGCATCTAACTGTCATTAAATCAATGATTGATGATGATGACTATGGAATAATGCTCAGAAAATGTGTTGCATTGTCTGCAAAATACTATCTTTTCGCCGTTGGCGATGTGACGTCACTCGAAGGGAAGCGTCTATAACTATAACAAACTACATTTAAAATATTTTTTGTTTATTATTATTGATAAAAATTGTATATTTGCGTAAAATAAGACACATTAATTGCGTTTATCATTAACTAATTGCGTTTAATCGCGGTTGGGGGAGGGGACGCGCAATCCACGGACCGGCAAACTTAGCGCGAACGGGTAGTACATGAGCCTATTGACTTGGACTATTGCAATTTGACTTGGGCTATTTATAGCCAATAACCCTCCTTCTGGCGCAGTCGGGTAAAAAACTAGGTTTGTAGGTACTTAAAAGCTTACCTTTAATATTTGCTTGTTCGGGATATCGATAGGCGGTCAGATTGAGGACTGATAAAATCCTCAACGCATTTTTTATGTTGGCGGCTTGTGTAAGGGCGTTAACTACGAACATTTTGTGTCACTCACGTAGTCACATCTACCGGTACACTGATTAGAATTACAATAATTGTTTACTCAAGAAGATTTTAGACAGTAAGGTATTTAACATGCGAGAAACCTTCAAACAATTATGTATACAGGGTGATTTTTAATGAGTCAACATCCTTGTGAGGCATTATAGTACAGGATATTTGCAACCAATTTAGCTATGTATAAAAAGACCAAAAGTCAACTATTTCTGAGATATTTTGATTTTAATTTTGTATGGAAAAAAAGTCACCTGTATACAATGCAAACACCTAATTATTATTAAATTTCAAAGTTTAGACATACGTAATTTTTTTTCAGCTTATAATTTCCTTATAAAAAAAAATGGCGATAAGTGGTGATGGTAGTAGTTGTGGTAGTAGTATAACTTTTTTGGGTGAATATCCCAAGCACGTTTTTTTCGCGGCGGAGCTGAGAATCGATGGGAGAACTCCACTACTAATTCTTAATCTCTTGTAGCAGCTTAAGCATTTACCAAAACGGTTCTGCTATCCTCGTTATTTAACATAGTATAATTTGATCCTCGCAAATACATACTATTGATTTATTACACATAATCGCCTCTATAATACACTTTGTATTAGAGTGAGGACTTGGATAGCTATTTAAAAATCGATACTAAGCAGAATCTTAAAAACAGATGAGAACAGTCCTGAAACAGCTAAAATTTCCGTAGCCTCGTAGGTTGCAATCTATTCTGCCACTCGAGCTGAAAATTCGTGGGGTTTTGGAGCTGGATTGGCACTGGTCGTGACTTAGACTTCATCAGTCGACATCTTTCGAGCTTCTTTTATTCGGCATTCTTCTTTGTGCGAAACTTGGCTAGCCTGGACCAATATTTTAGACTACGAGACGACTAGAGTCAGAAAGTTTTGGATTTGTTCTCTATGGAGGGTTTTTGCCGTTATCACCATGCTTTGCAGGCTGGTTGGTAGTTGCAGTATAGTAGTATAATACCTGGAAAGATGCTGCAGCCTGCAGTAGTGGCCTCTTACGACACACATGGCATGGGCCTGAATATTGTTACCAATTTGTAAACATCATTACTGGATAATAATACTTAATTGATTACAAATAAATAAGTAATTTGAGACAATCGTCCATTATATTCCTGATTTCACTGTATAAATAAATTTCGGTGGATTGGTTCTTAATCCCGGTGGCTCAAATACAATTTCGGTGGCTCTTGATAATTTCAAATTTACATAACTCGAAAAGTATTAAGAATATTTTGATCTCTACCTTAACATTGAATAATACAAGTCATTTACTACTATTTCTGCCACAAAAAAGTTTTGAAAAGTGGAAATGAAAATTCTCCACCGGAATTAGGCAAAAAACGAGTTTGTTGATATTCACCCTTTTCTGGAGCAATATATCGGAAAATATTTTCAAATCTCACTCAATGTAATTCACAAACATTACTATGAGGTCTTACAGTGCGTGTGGACCCACAGGGTCCCAAAAACCTATTCATAGACAATAGGTACCTACTTGAGTGGCGGAGTGACTCATATACTTACTTATATATATCATATAATTAAAATCCAGCTCTATTTCGATATACGCTATACGTTCGACTTATGCAAGCATCGTTTGTGAATACATCATCATCTTCATCATCATCAACAGACCTTTACAGTCCACTTCTGGACTATGAGCCTCCTCCACTATAGTTGAGGGTTCTGCCATAATCTCCACGCTTGGCAGGCGGTTTGGAGATCGCAGTTTAAAAGATTGATGTTTTTCATAGAGCGCTTGTGAATACGGGTGTCAGTATCTCACAAAATAGCTACTAGAAGTATTCCTAAAAAANATATTATGTGATGTAACTAAAAATTTATGGTTTTCGTAATTTTTCCTTTATCTATGCTATAAGAAGTTGCTTCGTACCAAATTTCAAGATTCTGAGTTTACGGGAAGCACCCTGTAGGTTTTGATTCCCTTGCAAGTGTCGAAAATTTGCGGCATAAACGGCTGTATCTTTTGATTGCGTTGGCTTAGAAGTTTGATTTTTTTACAGCTTCAAGGGACAGTAGACCTGAGTAATTGATATAATTTTCAGCTTCATACCTCCACGCGTTCCTGAGAAAAAGGGTCTTGACAGACGGACGGACGGACAACAAAGTGATCCTATAAGGGTTCCGTTTTTTCCTTTTGAGGTACGGAACCCTAAAAAGAAACTTTTCATTCCAAAATTGTGAACTATTAATAAAAAAAAGAAGTAAGTAATATCCATGTATGTTAATAATAAAATATTTTAAAAATAAAATTAACAATTTTTGTAAATAAAACAAAAAATTAATATTCTTAAATTCAAAAAATTGGAGCATCCTATAAAGTTGAGCGCACGCGCACGTGCCTGTGTCGGATGGCTAATTGGCGACACGGGACTTAGTTTTACACGGTTTACGCTAACGTCGAGTCTTAAGGTTAGACCAGACCAACGCGTGCAGCCGGCGTGCACGATGACGATGGCGATGGCGACCAGACAGCGTGTATGAATTTGTAGCGATGTGTTCACATCAACGCGTCCTGTCATTGGTCGCGGCGATCTATGCAGCGTCTGCACGCAGCGATCAGCGATCATCGCGACATTTGTCACTGTGACGTTTCTGTTTTTTAAAATCGATGTAATAAATGGTAAGTAGGATCTGTTAAAAAGTTTTCCTACACAATTAAAAATGAATTATTCATAACATACCACTAGTCTGACCTACTTGAATATTAAAAAAGGTTTTAGAATAAAGTATCAATATCAGAATTTATTTTTATGTAATAAACAAATTATTCTAGTTTTCTCGAGAACCTGCTTCTTCAACTTCATAAATAAAATTGGGATATTATCTGCAGAACAAAATAATTGAGAATGTACATGTCTGCAGCTTTCTCAAAGGCCCTAGAGCAATTCTAAGTATGCCATAAATAAAAACCTAATTAAAGTCATCAAACGTCTCAGTCATTAAATTTAGTGCCACTAGAAACACCTAGTTGATCAAAACTGATGTCTTTTTGTATTTTTGGGTTATTATTAAAGACAAAAAAGATATTTGGACTATTATGTACCTACTCTGTGGTTTGGGTGCATAATGTAATTTCATTTGCCTTAAAAAAAGTAAATGTCAAGATGACTGTTGCACCAAAAATGAAAATGAAAATTGATTTTGATAGATTTGTGTTGAGTTCTGTGTAGTTTTGTGCGATTTAACGATAAGAACGACAATGGTAAAAGGTAATGGGGGCAAATTTTTTCCCTCAAGGAAAAAGATGAATTGGTTATAATCTTTCTTGCCCACAAGGATACTGTACGAGCACGTCAGCATCGACCGCGACCTACAACATGCTAGCCGACTGGCCCATGAACCCTGAACGAACGTGCACCGTAGGCACTCTACACCGACGGCACATTGGATTGGACACATTGAATTGTGTACATTATGTATATAGCAATAGCATAACAGTAATAAACCAGATATCAACCGTCCGCGTTGTGTTTCATTTCCCCCACTAAGGCCAAGAAAGCCTTAGTGCAGTCCTCCTTCCTATCAAACCTTTCTTTAAATCTAATTAAAAGGAATTGTTAGGGCTCTAGGGACTACAAACGAAGCCAGAAATATAGCTTGGTTATGAGTAACCAATACCTACTACCTATACCGCATGTAATCCTGTCTCATTCTTTAATATATGGCCGCCTGAATAAACTTGAGTGAAAAAGTGTTTCCACTGTCTCAATTGCATCAAAAGCTCCAAACAAATCATTTAATTCAGTTTCCATTTTGCCGATTAAGCGTGATTGACAATATGCGTGACAGTTGTGGTGACAGTGACAACCTGCACGCGCAGTGATCGCCATCGCGGTCGCGGCAGTGTGAAACAACTTTTGCACGCGCAGTGGTCGCCATCGCCATCGCCATCGCTGCACGCGTTGGTTTGTCCGAACCTTTACGTCATAGCGGTACACGCTTGCTCAATAACCGCGAAATCCGCGAATAGACCAAAGGTATAATATACGCCTATATTTTTTTGTTGTTCACTGTTTAGATTTGTGGATGCTCGAATTTTTTTGTTTACAGAACAAAAGTGAAGTGTCTGGACTATAGGATTTAACACACACGAAAAATTTAATATCAGAAAATAATTAAAATAACAAACAATTTTAACTTTGATAGTTATCTCTAATTTATACTTTATATCCATGCGATTTATGTTTCTTATGGTCTCGTTTTCGAATAATAATATTATTATCTTCCTTGATCATGTCAGCGGCTTTCTCGGCGATCATGATGGTGGGCGCGTTGGTGTTGCCGCTGGTGATGGTGGGCATGACGCTGGCGTCCACCACGCGCAGCCTCTCCACGCCGCGCACGCGCAGCCGGCTGTCCACCACGGAGCCCATGGCGCACGTGCCCACTTGGTGGTAAAATGTGGTAACTAAGCACTTAGCGTAACACCGCCAGTAAGCTTTGCTGCCAGCAGGGTAGCTCGAACATTTTTCCAACTCTAATAACTCTGCATCTACACTCTTGAAGTACGTTGTGTTAATAATTCGGGAAAAATCCTCTAAATAACTTACTACACTTTCAAGATCACTTTCATCTGAATATGGCTCTGTGTAGATTAAAGGATATTCTTCAGGATCTGTGCTATTTAATAGCAGTTGACCCCTGGATTTCGGTTGCACAGGAGTTAACGCAGTTATCATTACTTCTCTGTTTTGGCTTCTGTCATATAAATTTTGACAGATATCATCATCAAATGCAATTATAAGGACACAAAATGTAAGTATGATGTCTGGACCTCCTGTTATAATTACTGTTTGATAATCTGGGTAGGACTGGTTTGTTTTCAATGTAACGAATCCGACTATATCCTTGGTAGGAAATTTATGAGGATTAATAGGCGCGGGAATGGGTGCTGGTCCTGTTGTATGATACAAAGTAACTAGCTTGTGATCTTGTAAATTTTCTCCTACAGGAAGATCGGAAACAACGTTTATTCCTAAATCTTCCAGATGATTTTTAGGACCTATACCTGACAGCATTAATAATTGTGGGCTGTTGATCGCTCCACCCGACAAAATTATTTCTTTACTTGCTTTCACTGTTATTGTCTGACCATTTTCGTTGTTGACATTCACGCTTACAGCCGTCTGGTTTTCGAAATTGATCTTTGTTGCTAAATGGTTTTTGAGGACGTAAAGATTTGGTCGATTTTTTATTGGTGATAAAAAAGCATTTGCCGTGCTTTGGCGAATACCATCAGCTATTGTTAATTGTGTCTGCATGAATCCTAACGTATTATTTCCATTCGTATCGAGAACAGTATTGTACCCAAGTTCCTGAATAGCATCTAAATACTTTTTTGCTTCGATGTTATATGGTTGACTTACACCTAAGTATCCGTTGGCTCCATGAAAAATACCGGTTGGGGAATTCAGAATGGCAGTAGTTTCCATTCTCTCGCTTTTGATGAAGTATGGTAAAATGTTGTTGTAACTCCAGCTTTGATCATTTGTAATATTTGCCCATGTGTCATAATCATGTGGGTCGCCTCGCACGTAATACATGATGTTAAGACTGCTAGATCCACCTAGCATCCTTCCTCGTGTCAACTCATTCACGTCGTTAACGTGACATTTATAATCAGTGCATGTTGTATTAGTAGAAGTAGTGTAGTTCCAGTCGTTTTGAGAGTTCAAGTTGTAAGCCACCAATGCCGGTAGCTGAAAAAAATGAAATTTTACTTGACCAAGTGATGCAACGTATAAAATATTAGAAACGAAATTGATGACATGGAAAAATAACACGTAATTATACACATTGTAATTAACTGTATTACAATGTGATTATTTAGCGTACGATAGCGTATCACGCACCTGAAACATGAAGGTCAAATTGTAAACCTTCATAAACTCACTTCACTGGTGTGTACGATAGCTCCATTTCTTACGCCTATGAAGTCACTTACGTTGGACTCTAGAGGCGGGTCCCCGCCGGCCTCGACCAGCAGCACCGTCACCCTCGGGTCCTCGCTGAGCCTGTTGGCCAGCACGCAGCCCGCCGAGCCCGCGCCCAGCACTATGTAGTCGAACGACGCGCCATCTGGTGGAAATTAAATTTTAATAGATGTTATTTCCATGTTAATCGATTGGTAGCGGCCAGCGTCCAGCGCTTCCCTGCTACCTTTATGATCAACATGGAAAGGATTGGGGGAGGCCTATGTTCAGTAGTGGACGTCCTATGGCTGAAATGATGATGATCAGATGTTATTTTGTAGAGTCTGATTTTGACTTCTGCTTCACGTGATGGGATGGGATGTAATGGACTAGGCACAGCATCTAAAATAAAATGATCATTGTATATTTCTTGGACAAACAGTTTAAAGAAAGATTCTTGGAGATTTTTATGGTTTACATTTTATTGGATCAATCTATTATGTACATCGGATTTTAAACAAAACACAGTCATCTACATTAATTAGTTAGTTTGATAACATGTTATAGGTATCACTTAAAGAATATAATTATTTTTACGATTTGCAATTAAGTCTTAAGCATACTTACTGTACTACGAATGGATAAATTATACGAAATAGTTTTAGGAAATGTAGTGAAGCTACGATCAAATACATACGTTAAGCTGTTATAATATTCATTGGATTTCTATAAGGGCGAATTAGTACCTTTTTCCTTTGATGCAGATTTCGGCACGCGTGCGGATTTAATCCTCATGCGGACTGCCCGTATTTCATTATGCTGCGGGCACATAATACGAAATTTTCGTCCTGCTTGCAACTAGCAGCGTGATATTACACGCACGCGGACCAGATCCGCATGCGTGCTGAAATCCGCATTACAGGAAAAAGGCTCTTATTCGTTCGTTCGTTCGTTTCAGCCGAAAGACGTCCACTGCTGGACAAAGGCCTCCCCCAAGGATTTCCACAAAGAACGGTCCTGCGCCGCTCGCATCCAGGCACCTCCCGTGACCTTCACCAGATCGTCGGTTCACCTAGTGGGAGGCCTGCCCACGCTACATCTTCCGGCTTGTGGTCGCCACTCAAGAACTTTCTTGCCCCAGCGGCCATCAGCTCTACGAGCTACAAGTATGTGCCCCACCCACTGCCACTTGATTTTAGCGATTCTGCGGGATATGCAGTATAATACTGGAGTAATATTTTTTGTTCACTTACCTCTTACGTTTGCTTGTTCTGGGTACCGGAAGGCCGTTAAATGAAGCAGAGATATCACTCTGAAAGCATTTTGTGCTGTAGCCCAACTCGACAACGTACTAGTTACTACATCCATGGCTTCTGTTAGACTGATGTATTCAGTTCCATTTGCCTTGCAATTTTATTCAAGAACGGCTGTGAAATAAGTAATTAATTCAAATGATGGACGTTATATAACTTATTTAAAGAATAGTGCCAAATAACAAATAATTAAACGGTATTATCTTAAGTGCTTTAAGTGCGTGATAAAATTTACAATGCTAATAATAACACCAATGCTGTTTTTCGCGGGTGTGATAAATTGTTAACCTTCCGCTTGTATCCACGGCTGCAAACTGCATTAAAATCCGTTGTTAATATTATTATAGCGTCCAGACAGCGCAGCGCAGTATTTATACTATTAATGTATACCCAGATAACATAATTAGATAATACTAGGTAAACATAATTAAAAAAACTCATTATAAATTCTTGATAAGATATTTTGGTAACTTACTTACCTATTTAACAACCAGTTAGACTCCCCGCATACTATACTGACTTTAGGCTCGGCGCAAATGAGCCACCGACCACAGCCACCGGTGGCCAGCGACGGCGACTTAACACACTTTTTAATATATTTTGTATAGACGCGCCGCGCACGTGTATCCGGTGGCGTCTACGTGCACTACTTGCCACACAAAACGCCGACTGACCCGCCACTGTCGCACTGTTCCACCCCCCGCTAGAGGGGGGGGGGGGGGAGGTATTAGGTAAAATAAGTAGCTACCTAATCCAAATATTTTAAAACACCTAATCCAAATAACTATTCCGAATATTTATCCTCCATCTTCAGACTGCGCAGCAACGAGCGGGTTATAAATGTGGTGGCTTCCAGACACTGGTGGCTGGCGCCCGCTTCTGACACTCAAATGTGGCGGTAGCGCGCGACAGCCACCGGTGGCTGTGGTCGGTGGCCCATTTGCGCCGAGCCATAGTCGGCCGATAGTTGGGCCCGATACTTTGTATAAAGAATCGGCCGGTAATTTACGCTCTTTCATATGTCCATACTGATTAACAGCCCGACTGAACTATCGGCCGAAAAAAAGTCTGTCTCGGTGCGTCTAGGTTAATACTAATTATGTTACCAAGCCATTATGTTAAATAGCTTTGACGTAAGTAGAAAGTTAATTGTTAATTCGTTTGTTTTTTGTTAAAGCGACAATTTTTTTATGATCGCATTTCTTCTTTAGCGGCCCAACCTGGCTTCGCACGGGTAAGTTATCTAATAAAAATAATATAAATTGAAAAGAAAATTTAATATGCCTATGTTCTTTGGAAACAAATAAGGCTTCTGATGGTGAAATAATTTTTCAAATCTAACTCATGGACCGTAGTTTCTCCGCCTATTCAATTCAAAAATATGTATAAACCTTTCCGCAGTATAATTACCTCTTTTTAAGACAAATTTTGCCTAGTTTGGGACTAGATATCCAAGGATATTTGTTTTTAATATAATATAAGATAGTAGCGCAAAATAGGATCAAATGGCCGAATTTCTAATCTCAAAATGACTCTACCTATTATATCCAACATGGTTCGCTAAACCTATTCCAACACCCTGTATAGTTCAACGTGAAGAAGTATATTAGATATCAGACATTTATTTTTTTCAAAATAGTACTGGCGCATTTCTTGGCCAACGAATCAGATTGGCCATTCAGCGCGGAAATGAAGCCAGCATTCTAGGCACCACGTCGCGTTGTATGAACAGCGATTTAGGACATAGTTTTTACTAGCGGCCGCCCGCGACTTCGTACGCGTGGATCCCGTTTTACCCCGTTAGGGGAGGAGTTTCGTAAAATCCTTTCTCAGCGGATGCCTACGTCATAACATCTACCTGCATGCCAAATTTCAGCCCGATCCGTCCAGTGGTTTGGGCTGTGCGTTAATAGATCACTATGTCAGTCAGTCAGTCAGTCACCTTTGAGTTATACGTATTAAAATTTAGATTTTCATTTTTTCCTAATACATTTTAAGCAGATACAGCTATTATAATAGCACCTAGGCATGCAATAAAGATGTCACAGTGTGATTCACGTGTCATATAATGTGACTGATTAAGAGAATTTGTTTACATGAACCAAACATTTCCTATGTTTTTGCCAAATTTTGCATTTAATCTTCTTTAAGTAATGCATGTCACTGGTCTAGTTATTTGATGGGACTTATTGTTAGCAGGGATGTTATGGATATCCGTAACCGAAACCGAAAGTTTCGAATATCCGAAATAAAAATATATCCGTAACCGTAACCGAAAAAGTTTCGGATAGTTTCGGATGTAGGCAGTTTATAATTGTTTTTTAAATTGTTTACTGTATAAAGGCATAATAGCCTGATTTACCTTTATAATGCCATCTAGTATCAATTTTTTTTCTCGCTTTTTATTCGATGTAAAGTGTGTGGCAATGAATGAACCGTGTTGGACAACTATTGCAATTATTGGCATTATAAAGCACAGATATCCGTAACCGTAACCAAAACCGGTATAATATTATTCCTAAATCCGTAACCGTATCCATAACCGAAACTACATATCCATACCATCCCTAATTGTTAGTATACTCAACTGTACAATAGCCTATACAATTTCGATGCAAAATAACACCTATGTACAACTAATTAAGAGGTGATTAGTTTGACGTGCTGGCTGTCGTCTGTTTCTGGTGGAACAACCTTTAAACTATTTTGCGCTAGCATTTGCTCGCGGCTTCACTTGCGTGAAATTCAATTTGTCATAGACCGTTACAAAATATAGCATGTAATGTGTGTGAAGTTTTGCGTGAAAGAGTCACAGCCATCCTTTTCGCGTTTATAATAGTAGGACAGAAAAGTCTTGAGGCATAGCGTTTAACTTCTAAAATTATTCATGGTAAAACACTTCTGTTTCTCGGAGGCTCAAGTACCCTCAAGGGTCCTCGGCCGCGGGGCCTCGCAAAACATCGCGTCACGCCTTTTAGAGTGGACTTGGAGGACTTCGTAACTTTTAACCAGCACATTTTGGTATTTCCTTATAATAAATACCCGATTTGCTACAAGATGTTTGAGGACATTTTTGTTAATTTTAAATGATTTATCAACTGCATAATTATTGCAGTCATTTTTGTACCACTGACTGTTTTTATTTCTTCGGCAATTTCACTATTATTAGTCAAATCAAACGCAAATCATAGTTAATCCTCAAAGTCAGTGAGACCCAAAGTATACTTCGAAGTTACCACCACTGGGGGTCAATAGCTTTGAGAGGTCTATGCAAAGTGAAAATTAAATTGAGGGTCTTTGGAATCGAATGAGGAACCGCCTAAAGTATTTTGAAATTAAATCAAAGGTAAATTATAAAAAAAATACATTGAATTACCCCTTCCCCTCAGCTCAGGAGCTTAACAATCTTGCACCTTTAACCGAAAAACGCAAGCAAGTAGTCTATGCAACCGTAGTTCTGTCACGCTTTATCACAGAATAGACAACAATAGTACAAGACAGGTGTAATTCAGTTGCTTCTTTCTTACGTAGAACACGTTATTATCGTGACTTGGTCATAATACAATAATTACCAGCGTATAATCAACCTATACAATATTAGTACTATTGTTAATGTTCAGTATAAATCACTACAGTTTATTTTATTACCTTTGAAACAAAGAACGCGTCCATTTTGCTGGCGCAATGAATATAGCTAACAAACGAGGGTGTGTTTTTCAATCAGAACGAAGTGCTAATATTTGAAGTAGCTCAATAAAATGTTTGTGGCCGGCGTACACACTTTTTAATTTAAATAACCAAACTCCAACGCGGTATACAATGGAATTTGAAACAACTGTGCGTCAGCAGGGAGGCACGTATAATGCAGAGTAGGAAATAATGTAGGTTTAAAAAACAATAATTATAGATCGCGCAACGAGAGTTGAGGCCATCAACACAAGCTAAGATTTGTATCTAAAACGCTGTATGCGCTGACGTCTTGCTTGCGTAGTCGGAGAGACAAGTAGGTACTTTCTGTCTCATTTTCAGTCTTGAGCGCGGTAACTAGTGTCTTCAATATTTAAACTTGAATGTGTGGTAATGTGTTGTATTCAAATAATACATTCAGTGTGAGTACATGTTTGCCTCAACTTTCTCTGAGCGACCTATACTTACAATAGTCGCCTCAGCAGCTGTGCACATAGATCTTTTTGTTAATACAACATTGTTTGAACTACATGCATGGTTACACATTGAAACGACATTAAATTAGGTAGTTGTAGTACCAAAAAACAATATTAAATTGTCTTATAATATTTTAAACTATTATGTTGCATTTTTACTATAAAATTATCACTTCACGGGATATTACTTATTTACCGTTAAAAAGATTTTGTTGCAATAAATCCCGTGAAGTGATAATTAAATTGTCATACTTTTAGTTATGAAATGTCATTGCCTTCAAGACTGTATTGTATTAGGCTCGGTTTCCACCAAAGCGGAGAAGAGAGGAGATGGAATAATCAGATTTCATTACCACATCACCTCTCCGCCCAGCTTTACGATAATCTGATTGGTTATTGAAATACAATCTCCTCTTCTTTCTGTCTTAATCTAGCCTTAACATACGCCCTAAGCGCGCACACAGGAAGGCGAGGAAAGTTCCACACAACCAGCCGGGGAGAGTCTCACATAACCAGGTGGGGAGAGTCCCACATAACCCACTGGCCACTGGCCATCCCCATCGACCAGTGAGTATGCGCAAAGCATTTCCCGACGTTGATGCATGCATCAAACAAGGCTGTATGTTTCTTTAATAAAGATAAAAAATAATAAAAATTAAAAATATAGCGTGCTTCCAGGAAGCTACGTTTCAGGCATCACAGAACTTTGATAGGACTATACCGCTACTTCACCTACCTATAGGGATAAATTCCTCTCTATAGACCAAAAAAGGAGCTGGAAGTAACTGAATGAACAAAGCTGAAGGTCATACTTTGTGACGCTCCTTTGAGAGACTTTCGTCCAGCAATGGACCGAAAGAATGATAGAACCATCCAGGTGACACATGTAGAACATGACTGTTTTTAACCAAGAGTATTACCTACCCAGCTAATTAATATTCAATGTCATCGACATGTAACTGGATTAAAAGTAAAGTTGGTAAGTACCAGCGGTTCCCAACCTATTTAGGTCCACAGACCCTGAGGGCTCTGCAGACGAATATTTGACACAATTTGACGTACGTTTTATCCTTTTGTACCCTTTGCACCACCGGCCTGCACCACTGGTGGTGCAAGGGTATTTTAAAATCCATCTTGCACCACCAACAAATAGTTCTGTACTACCGTCGACTGTAAAACTAGTAGTAGACTGTAAGTATGTTATAAATTAATCAAAACCTACCTAAAAGTTTTAATTTATTTATTGCAGTGCAATAAACGCATTGAAACTTCAAGGGGAATTCTTGGCGGGAAATTGAAGCGTCATGTTCAGCAGTTTTGTTTTTTTATATTTGTGTTTAGCCTAATAACATGTGTGAGGCGTGGCTGTATGCATGGAAGCGTTTAGGAGTTGTTTACCTTTTATCATCACCTCATCATCATGAAATGATGACTACAAGTCACAAATACTTGAACGACTTAAGAATAAAATGATATGAAAAACTTAACACGTGCCTATAAACAT